TACAACAATTTCAAACAGGAACATTCATAATTTTAAAGCCAAAGTCAGTATTGTACATAGTAGTTGTTGAAGAAATATTCCTGGAAGATAATACAGCCAGAAATAGAAGTATATACATTATATATAAAGCCTACATTGATCAGAGACTGCACAAAAGAGTTTGTCAGATAGAAGAGAATCACAGTGATGCAAAGCTACTGATTTTAATATATCTTTTTCCAAAGATACATTTTTTTCTTTCATCTACATTATCAACGTGACGTTCTGCTCTTGAGATTGAGTGGGCAGTGCAGCAGGGAGCCCACAGAACACACCCACACGCACGGCCAGCCTGTGATGCAAGGCTCTCTCCCTGTTTGCACAGCCCCAGCACTGGCAGCTGCCTCTTGCTGCACTGTGCTGACTAAGAGCATCGCAGGCTGCAGCAAAGAGGAAAACACCCATCTCAATACTGGCTTCACAGCATGCAGTTCAAGAGGGTTTTCTACCTCTACAGAGGACACTGCAATGGGGAGAGACTGGTTTTATTATACATTATAGTCTCTCAAAAATTACTAGACTCTTAGAAATAAAAGGCCTTCAGAAATATCTTTTATTTGTGGTTTGTCTAAAGTTATTTTTAATGTCTTCTCCTCATGCACAGCATGTGTAACAAATACAGTACTGTAATCCTCACAGTTATAGCCTGAGTAATGCAATTTTTGACCCTTGTTGCAACCCTCTTGACATGAATCTCAATGGAGATGACAACACATGTATTTATTTCTATGTGTATACATTCTCTCACAGGTTTTTCCCAAAAATCTTAACTACAGCCTCTCTGGCCTAATATAATACACATTCTTGACCCAGTTCAACAGTAACTTGCATATGCCAAACTCATGTTAAATTCTGCACTCATCAGTAAAGTTTTGTATCTGCAGCCATTATCTCCTGTCAGCCAGGTAACACCATTAGTGCCCCTTCCCTGCTTTTCATTGCTCATGCTGGGACCTCATGCTTGCCCCCTTGCATTCTGCCCCACATGGGCTTACTTAATACAATTTTCACACAGTCATCTTACTTCTCTAAGTCTGGCAAAATGCAGTTTCAAGGGGTCTTACACTCATGGGATTTTCACGGGCAAAACTTCATCAACGTACTTCCTTTTTTAGAGTTTACTGTTACATATCTAGAAGAAAAGCCTGGGGGAAAAAAGAGGACTAAGGGGCAGACCTGTTTTTAATCTATTAAGTATGGGGAGAGAAAAACTCAAGCTTTTAGGCTTGCTTAAGTGCCACTGTTGTAGTACAATGGAAGTTCTGAAAATTTCAGAGAAGAGTCAAAGAATGGTGCTGGTTTTCTTAAGTTTCTTGGATGAAGGACTTCTCTCTGCCAGGGGGCAGATAGGTAAAGAATGGGGGTCTCCTGCAACCTCAGGTCCCTACAAAAATAGTACACTGAAGGCTGTAATCACTTTATTTAACTGAGACCCCTCACCCAGCTTTCTTTGAAAGAAAGAAGATAGGTAGCCAAGTCATCAAATGAGAATCCAAAATGATAAAGACTGATCAACCCACTTGCTCAGTAAAGCTCTAATAGATATGAGTTTAAGAACATCTAAGCGTTTTATGATATAACACAAGAGTATATCCCAAGAAGGGTCAATTCCATCACAAAATCACTATCAGATTAACCCAAGACAGCTTTTTCCCAGAAGATTTTCTATTCCTGAGACCACATCCTTCCTCAAAGATGTAACACTCAGCACTTCAATCAGAAAGAGAGATGCACGCAGGCATGCAAACAGTACAAGTGCTGCTCTACACTGGAGATCTGGGCTTTGCTCTTCCAAATTCAGACTCCTCCTCATGCAGGGTCACAAACAAAGGCTCTGCAGTTTATCACCAGGAAATATTCAGTATTCAGTGTCTAATGCCTTGAAAACTTCAAGAAATGCATAAGAAGGCAGCAAAAGAAAAGAAAGAAAAAAGGGTCATCTTCAGTCACAAAACATCTTCATGTTATAAAGACATATCTGGAACATGTTCTTGAATAACTCAGAAAAATTGTGTCCAGTCTCTAGAACTGTTCTGGCTGCAATAGATTTGAGTGAAATTTTTATCTGCAAGTGATCTTGAGATGAAATTTAATTTTAAAAATAGCTAGGGATTAGAGGTGAGGTTTTTTACAGGTGGGCTTGCTTTTGGGGTTTTTTTATTTTTTTCCTAATAGAAAACTCCTATATTTAATATTGAATACTCAAAGCAAATAAATACATCAATTATATATCATAAAATACTATCTACATATTAAATAATCAGTTATCTTCAAACTTCATAGATTTATTTCCATGTTTTTTGAAAGCTACTTGAATGTGACTCAAGGGAAATAACAATGAAAAGCTGGCAGTATGGAAATGCTTTCACTGTCTTACTTAGCATCACAGTCAAGAAATAGCTACACTGGCATCCTTGCCAACTAGGTTCATATGTCAACTGCTACTCAGATTATTTGGAGGCAATTGTCCAAAGAAGCTGTCTTAGTGAGGACTGCAAATTACTGGATCTTTATTCCCCACTTCAAAAATACTTAGGAGTACTGTATGAAGCATCAAATGAAATAAAATTTAGGAAATACCACTACTATATGGGCCTGGAGCAATGCAGCATCTAGAGTTATTAGATTATTGAAATTATTTTATCTGAAAACCATACACAAAAATCCAATTAAAAATCTACATTAAGAACAAAAATGACAAGGTTTGTGTCTCAGCTTCAGCTCCTCTTCACAGTTCCAGCATACATAGGTAGCTCTGTTCATGGTTAAAAAAAAATGTGCAGGTTCCATTTTTTGGACCTGTTTACAAAAAAACAGAGATCTGTGTAAACTCTTCCACAAAGACTGTTTAAGAGAGAGAACACTTTAATTTAGAACCAAATCAAGCTCGTGAGTGGCCGGCTCTGACAATGAGCAGGGCAAACCTGAGCCCGTTTGTACCTTGCATCTGTCCCAAAGGACGGCAGAGAAAGGATCAGAAGAAATGCTGTGCCAGCTCCCCCCAGTCTCAGTTCACTGCTTTCCTCCTGTCCTCCACAGGATCAAAAAGATGCTATTTCAGATTTGACAAAAAGATATGTATATCCTTCTTTTGATCTCTTTGGATTCTAACTTTCAGTTCCTGTCCTCCCACGCACACCATTTCTGCGCGGTGAAACCGTGCCAATACCACTCAGAAGACTCCTGCACTCCTACAGACCAGAAGCTAGACGTGCATTTCATAAAGGTTAAAATACTGACGCTGAACTGATCTGAGTGGTAGCAAGACAAATACAGTATTCCATACCACATTTACTAAAATTTTTGAGAACAAATGAAACCCAGTTCCATCCCACCAGGGAAAATAGGAATGAATGTTCTGGGAAAAAACCCAGCAAGGGCACTCTTCTAAATTGATGGTGTTATGCTACAATATATTAGAAGAGTAGCAAGAAACCCAAATACTCTACACAACTGAAACACATGCAAAATATTCCATCTGAATTTGTCTCAGTATTTAAAGATCAAAGATAAAATTATTTCAGACAGGATGCTTCTTTTCCAGACAACATGCTTAAGACTAAAAAAAAAAAAAGCCTGTTTTAATTAAGATTTTGGCACTGGCTTTTGAACATCACAAGTTTGTTAATTTTATGTGAAGCAAAATAAAATTATATTCTCAATGGACTTCAGCAAATTAAATGAAAATATTTCCAGCAGCCAACTTGAAAAGGGATATCATTAAAGCACTGAATTCAATCTTATCTGTAGTTACCACTTAAACTTCTAGTCACGACACATTCATTCAAAACAAAATAGCAGATTGTAATGTGGGCTGATATCTGAAGGCATTTCATAAGCATACTCATGCTGAAGTCTAAATTTTACATGATCACTAGAGAGATTACCTTTGAACTACTTACAAAAATGTTTAAATGCCTTTGTTCTGCCTCTGAATTAGCATGTGGCATTGGAAAATTCAATATTATTTCTTACCATTTACTTCCCTTGACTAGTTAGCTGAAATAATGCGCAATACAAAACTGGAGATAATTTTCTCTTCAAACAGGAGTGGTATTAGAGGCAGAAAAAAGATCATTCAGCTATTCAATTTACATAGCTTTCAAATTTACTGTCCAAAAATCCCAGGTTAGGGACATAAAGAATAGATGTAATTGTCATTTGCTGCATTAGGATTATGATTTTTCTGTTTGTACTGGGTAACACTGATAGTTCAATATGTTGTTAAATGAAAAAATTGCTTTGACACTTGTCACTGTATCTTAAGCTAGAAAATGAGTGTGGTTCTTAATCAGAGCAGACAAAAGTACTGTACTGTTTGATGAAAATTACAATTTCTAACTGGCTCTGTGTAAACCATTCTCACCTAATGCCAAGCCCTTAATGATAAGTGCTGCTAGGAAACACTCCTGGGCAGCTCTGTGCATGCAGTCAGTTAATTAGGACTTCAGTGGAGAACAGTTCATGAGATTATGTACAGTTGCAACACAATTAACTTGTTTATCATTTCTTACAAACCTGCAATGTTTGTCTATGTGTGGAGCACAGATTGTTTGCATATAATTTTAACCTTTGTTCAGAGGGTTCCAAATCTATAAGGGTTTGTATGCCTTTTTAATAGGAAAACAGACTAAATCACAGTGTTTACAACCAAGCTTTGTCTCTGTCACTTGGTTTTATGATTCCATATATAAAAATTAGCTAGATCTGTGCTTACTATAGCCACCTGCTGAAACTTCAACAGCAAAATAAGATCTATAATTGGATATACAAAAACAGAAGCCCTAAAATTATAGCACAGGCCTAAAATTTGCAGCAGGGATAGTGAAATTCTGCAGCAGTGTTTATGTGTGGCTGTCAGTAGTTGTAACACCCACAGAATCTACCATTAGCAGTTTAAAAAGGCCAAGAAATAAAAAAAAAAAATCCTTTGCACAAAACCTTCTACTTTTAGCCGGTTTAATTGTCTGTCATTGCAGGAGCTTTTCCCTGTTCCTTCCACTGCTCCAGAAGGAGAGCGTGGACCCCATGCTCTACAGGAGAAATGCATGCCATCTTCTCCACACCATGTTTAGGAATCTAGGTAAAGGGGAGATAAGAGCATTTAATTCCTCAAGGCTTCCTCAAAATACCACTGAAAAATACTCTCTTACAGCATGACAACAACATTTTTAGCTAGTATATTTTTCAATAGAACCCACTTCTATTTACTAGAAAGTACTAACCCACTTCTATCTACTATACTTCTGCAGTGATTAAAATCCATATACAAGACACAGGTAAAGAAATAGGCTCTTCTTCGTGTATAGCCTTAGTTTGTAGCTTTATTTACAGAATATCTCAGCAGTTCACTTTATAATCTCCTACTGAGTATAACCCCAGAAAAGCTCCTTGTACGGAAATACTGGCAGAAGTGAAGGACAGAGTTTTAGGACTTTAGCCACTGCATCACCTAAATTCAACCAAATTTAAACTCAACCATACCAGTGGTTAGAATAATAACAATTACTTTGATTGGCACTCACTAGCTGCTACAACATAACAAGAGTTCTAAATCCACTGGAAAAGAATAAAATAAATACTTCTGCTGTCAAGGTATGGCATGGCATGGCTCTGGCACATCCTGGCATACAACATTTGATACTGGAGACACATGCAAAGCTCAGTCATGTTCTAGATCTTACAGACCCTGCTCCAGGTGGCCTCAAAACTATAAGGGCAAACCTCAAAATTCTCCAACATATACTGGGGATCTGGCCCAAAATCTCAGGAAAAATTTTGTCTCCAATTCTGATGTTGAGCAGAGAATTCAGATTGCAACATCTAGAAAATATTATGCTGACTATGTAGAGCTCTGGTATGACTCAGAGGAGAAGGACAAATCTACTGCAGGCTCTTTTGAATTTAAAGCCCTAGAGGAAAACAGTGTGTTTTGTACATGTTTTGATGTTTGTACAGCCTCTCCTTCTGGCAGTTCCATTTCCTCTGGAAGCAGAGAAATCAGTCAGAGCTGTTAATAGGCCAAGGTAGAACTGATAAAATTGTTAAGGATGTTCTCTTTTCTGCCTGTCCAGATAAGGTGGTGTTGACTGGGGAGCTGCTCACACCATTTCCACAAGAACTGAGAAAATCTTTGTCTCACAGAAAATATGGAATGCTCTGGTGTTCTTGCTTCTCTCTCTCTGGCCACCAAGAGAGAAGCAATGGCCACAGATGCCTAGGCAAGTTACAATAGTGCAACATACAAAATCAAAGAAAATCAGTTAAACTGAGGAGGCAGGGGGGAGACTGTGAAAATAAAGTTAGTAAACAGAGGCAGGAAAAGAAAATGACAACCTCAGAACCTAAGTAAAGCTGCAAGCTGCATATGACAAGGGCACATGAATGTGTGTCCTGTCCCTTAGCTACACAGTCCAGAGGGGGCTGCTATAAGTGCCAAAAGCACACCACAGCATCAATCTGACAGCCAACAGCATTAGCTAACTTAGGAGAAGCCAGGAGTTCAAAAATGGAGAAAGTTTCATTTTATATTGTTAGCACGTGTATCAGCTTAAGCACCAAGGCAGTCAATGTTGTGCCTGTGAATGCAGGGACTGACAATCCCGTCATTGACAGGTACCTGTGAGTCTCTCGGAATGCTGCGGTACTAAACATCACTGACCTTGGGAGCTGTAACACTGCAGGTGTGCTTTAGCACAGGCAAATCCTATTTGGAGGTTCACTAGGCCTGCTTGGGGCCCAGATAAGAGACTATTTATTTATTACCTCTCCTTTCTGAACACTCATCTTCTGCTTCACGGACCTGTTTTCTGAATGCTGCAATATTTCCCTCACACCTCAAGCTGACCAGATACAGAAAAGTCAGCTCTATCAAGCTCGTTAAACTACCCTTTTGGTTTTGTTTTTTCTTCACTTAGTAGCATTTAGGCTTCTCAAAAATCTTCAGTCATGGTAGCTTTTATAGCATTTATATGGAAGCTTAAACCTCTAATCTATTTCCTCACCTTTGCATCAGTCAGAGGGCACAGCAACTGTCACTTACTAGTGCTTATAAAAAGTACATTTTAAGCTATAGTAACTGACTGGATAATTTATGAGTCCCAATATCTCATTGCAGTGGCAATGCTACTTTAGAAATTACTTTTTTTTTTCATTTCTGGAGAAACTAAAGTATTATCATGGCAAATTAAAACTGTATATTAGCTCAGAGATTTATTATATTGTCTCTTTATTCTTGCTCTCGTTTTGGACCTTATTGGACCCCTTCTATGTGTTCAGAGGGACAATCAGAACTGTTCAGTGTGCACAGCTTAGTAAGGATGGTAAATTTGCTAACAGCATGTTTTCCACTGCACATATTCAAGTCTTTGGCCTATCTCTTCTTTCACTGCTTCCATCCTCCAAACTCAGAGAACAGTACTCTCATTTCCTACCACTGTGCCCATCGTGATGTTTGTGCTTCCCAGCATCCTGTTACTCATCCTTTTCATCTCTCAATGGAGCATCTTTTCAGTTGTCCATTTAACCCATGATCTGTCCCTGAGGGTGACCGTAGGGAATGCTATTTAGAAAACACAAGAAAGAGTAACACTGGCTGCAACTCATTCCTCTAATAACAACAGAATTTCTCTTCCAACCTCAGAAAGGGTTGCATAAGAGGGGCTAAAGGATACATCCATGCCTAACCCTTTGCTATCCATTTATAGACCTCTTGTATATTATTTAATCTGATCTCTTGCAAATCTGCTGAAATTGTCTGCTTCTGGAACATGCTGAAAGGAGCTTGTACAAGTTCACTGCCTGCTGTGTAAAATACCAGGGCTTCATATAGTGCCAAGATCCTGCCCTTGTCTTATTATAACAACCCCATTTTGCTGGTTCTTTTGGCTGCTGCACATTCAGCCAGCAATTTCAGCAATCTCTCAACTAGCTCTGAGATATTCCTCTTGTGTTGTAATTGCTCGTTCTGAGCTGGCTTTGTGTGGGAATGATTTGGGTGACTTTACTTAGATCCATTAGTTCATTTTAATCTGTTCTGAAGCTTGATCTGCTGCCTTCCTCCCCCACTGCCTCTCCCTCCACCCCTGCACTTCCTGAGGTCCTGCTGGAATTCCTCATCCTTAGCATACCACATTTGACTTCTGAAACAAACTCAGTGACTACACTCTTGGAGAGTTCAATGTTTATCTCCTCTGATTCACTGACTGTGATTCCTGAAGATCCCTCTCTTGCCTCCTTTTCAACCCATGAAGTGATGACTACTATTACACTCAGATGCCATAGCAACTGAGTTTCTTTGATCACTGAGAAACCTTCACCTGAGTCCTTGCTGTTCTTTCTGGAAGAGCAGAGTGGGAAGACACTACAGAATTTTTTTCTCCTCTTCTCAATCATGATGCTCAAGTTTCCTTGAGCAAGTGAAGCACAGAGCAGCAACACAACCAGCCTGTTACTTCTGAAGTGAGATTAAAACAGTGAGATTACAAAGACAGAAAACTGACTATTCAGAATTCTACCCCTCCCTGCACCAGAGGAAGCATTATTACATTGTTAAGAGACATCTTTCTCCATGTTTCCCCAATAGTGACTTTGATCATTGGCTCTATTTCAGGCCATGCAAATGAGATTGGTAGACAAATTGAAACGTAATCCCACCATAACTGAAACCTCTTCTCCTATTATGAAACACTCACAGAATCACAAGATGTTTGAGTCCAACCCATGCCCCTAACACCTCAACTAAACCATGGCACCAAGTGCCACATACAGTCTTTTTTTATAACACATCCAGGGATGGTGACTCTACGACCTCCTCAGGCAGACACTTCCAGTACTTTATCACACTTCCCATAAAAAACTTTTTCCTAATATCTAACCTATATTTTCCTTGACGCAGCTTGAGACTGTGTTCTCTCGTTCTTTAATTCTCGTTCTGGAGTTGCTGCCTGGACAAAGCGACCAACCCTCACCTGGCTACAGTCTCCTTTGAGGCAGCTGTACAGCGATAGGGTCACCCCTGAGTCTCCTTTCCTCCAGGCTAAGCGCCCCCAGCTCCCTCAGTCATTCCTCACAGGGTCTGTGCTCCAAGCCCCTCACCAGCCTTGAGGCTCTGCATACGCTTGAGTATCTCAACACCCTTCCCAAACTGAGGAGCCCAGAACTGGACATATCACTGAAGGTGTGGCTCACCAGGCCAGAATGCTGTTGGCCACCAGGGCACTCTGCTGGCTCATGTCCAGCTGGCTGCCAACCAGCACCCCCAGGTCCCTTTCTGCCTGGCACTGTCCAGCCACACCATCCCCAGCCCATAGCGCTGGAGGGGGTTATTGTGGCCACAATGCAGGACTCAGCACTTGGATTTATTAAACTCCATCCTGTTGGACTCTGCCCATCCATCCAGCCATTCCAGGTCTCTCCTCAGAGCCCTCCTACCTTCCAACAGATCGACACACTCTCCCAGCTTAGCATTATCTGCAAATTTACTAATGAAAGACTCAATCATGTTGTCAATAAAAATATTGAACAGAACTGTCCCCAGCACAGACCCCTGAGGAACACCACTAATGACTGACTCGCATCAGTCCTCACCAAAAATACTTCTAAGATCAGGCAATACCACATTTGGATATCAACCCCACCTTGTGAGGGCACATGTGGTAACCACACAGAGTTCAAGGAGTCCTGACAAAATACTGGGTTCCTACAGGAAAAAAAAATTCTGAGAGTCATGCCATGAAGACACAGCTCTGCATCGCATGCAACAGAACTGAACACTGTAGTGCCTGTGGGGAAGAAAAAGACCCATAGAATGAGGGTAAGAAAGAAGCAAGTAAGCTAGTATTTACTGCAAACTAGGAGGAAGATATCTGTTGACTTGGAAGAGAGAGAAAGATGTGGATCTTTTTCCTCATAGTCCTATACCTATACAGGCAAGTCCTACTTGATTCCATTTCTGAGAGGACTGAGCATGTTATCCAGACACACATATTTCTTTATTAAACAAGTTCCTGTATAAAAGACCAAGACCTTTTCTTTAAGATCAGAGAGAATCATGCTATGTCCATGTCATTCTTTGACCTTTGGTAAAATAAAACTATAGGTACAATATCCATTGAATGTACCCAAATAATCCCAGTAGTGTTGTTAGAGACATAATGAAATTGATGAATTCTTCATAAAAGCAATGCTTGAAGAAAGCAAAAAAGAATGAAGAATAGTGTTTACTACCTTAATGAAATTGTGGCAGTGCCTTCAGGAGAGTGATTATTTTCTTCAGTGGTGTCTCCTATCAGCAGCTTCATCTGTTTGCTGAGTTTGACTGTTAGCCTCAATTGGGATGTGCACTTGCTGCTTGACTGGCTTGATGACCTCAGCTTCAATAGCTATAGGCAGCAAAGGTCAGGAGTTTATAACACCTCCTTCACTTCCAAATGCCAGCTTCAACTTGCCTAGAGCCAGGGGTTCACATACATACAGCACATAATTACATTTTAAAGGGTTATGGTTGAGAGACAAGGAAAAGTGTGCATTTCAAAAGGGGAGGGAATTATTCCTGTGAAACAGACACTGCTTTCAGTTCACCCTGGGAAACAATAAAAACATCACCTCTGCATCATGCAGAGGCATATGCTGAGCACCTTGCAAACTAAGCCTTACTTCTTCATCCCACCAGATATTAAAACATGCAGTGTCCTCAGCTCACCTCATTTTGTTCAGCCACTACAGCACCTGAAACTGCCCACCACATTACTGCTACAGCACATTTCATTTCCTTTAACTCTTTTTTTTTTCCTAATGACTGTAATAAGGCTCATTGGCTTGAGTAGGGGTTTGTACTCAAGCAGTTAAATGAAATTTAAGATTGTAACAAAACCTACAATGCATCAGAGTTGGCATTCTTAGCAAACACTGTTTAACAGGAACATTATTATTTATGGGGAAATGGTTCTGAAAATAAACTCCTACGCATGTTTAATGTCTTCTTTCCTTTATTTTTATTCTATGCAGCAGGAAAGATTTAGAAAAAGAACATACCCCAAAACAATGAAAAATGACTTAATGTCCAGTAATGACTAACTATATGCAAAATTGCTTTAAAAACCAAAAATCAGTTCAAGAGTTCTTCAATCAACTATATATCAATAGATAAAACATGACAAAAATGTTCATTCAGAAGAATCTTAAATTAAATTTCAATCTAATAAGGGCCATTTGTCTTCTTGATGACTTATATCCAGGAGTGAGGAAAACACAATGTAAATTCTCTTCATCACAATCCCTTTTTCATTTCTTATTTGCTGATGTATATCACATTATTGAATTTTAGAAAATGATGAGGAGAAGAATTGGTAAGTGCTTCACCCTGCAAACTTTCATTTGTTTTTTTTTAATTGGCATATTTGAATATGCTCAGGTTTCAAATAAAGTTGAAGTATTTCTTTAATTAAGCCATTTTAACTCTTGAAGTTAACAGAAAGTCACCTGTAAAGCCCAATCTAGGCTGTGTTTTCTTACTTGGTTCCATAAATCCGCAGTTATGTGCCTACAGGTCACCCCAGAAACTACAAATTGCTCCTCTATAGAGGAGAACAAACGTGGAGGGGTATCAAATACCACGTTGCTTTAAAGACAAGTTGCACATTCAGATCATGAGCCACGATCCCTAGTTCTCCCATACACAAGTATTCCCTCGTTTTTCAGTATCCAGTGGAACTATGGAGTGTGAGATCCTTGAATTTGGGGCTTGACTTGAAAGTGTCATTACATGAAAAACTGCAACGTACCCAGCATTGATCCTTGTGGGTCCCTTCCAACTAAGGATATTCTAATGACTCTATGATTCTGACTTGTAAAGTATCTTCAGTTAATTTAACTTGCAAAACTGCCAGCTGCAGTTAGGTCCATCACAAAATTAATTCTCAAATCAATAATGAACCATAGATAAAATTACACATTCATCAATATGAAAGTTAACCTACTCGACATTGATACTCCTTAAACAGATAGTTGGCATGTGTCTTTTCTATTAATATTGACAAGTCAGAGGGAAAACACAGTTACAAGATTTTATGGTTAACGCTATGACAGACAATTTTGACTGATAAATCAAGTTCTAGACATGAGATCTTTGATTTTCTACTACTTTCTACCACATCCATTCTACCACATGTGATACGTCACATCTCTCTGCCTCAGTGTCCCTGGAAGGGAAACATCTACTCACAAAGTGCAGTGAAACTAAATCAATTTATAAGCCTCATGTAATCTAGAGAGTATCAAAATAAGTGGAAGACATTCAGCATTCTCAATGATGCTAGTGCCTTGCAGGATGACATCTGTGCAGCTCCTTGAAGATCAAATACACAGTGACTAATTTTAATCTATTTGAAGGCAAAGTTTACCTTTAAAACCTAGAAAAGAAGTGTTACATACTTCTTACTATTAGTCAAATCCTCATGTCTCTGTTTTACATAATAGTAATCACAGTAAGATCTCCAGATTTGTAAATGATAATAAAATTAGAGTTAGAATGAATAATAAAAGTAATACAATTGGATTTCAAAGGATTTGGACCATTTTGGTAATAACGCCAGCAGATGGCAAATGCAGTTGAGTTCAGAAAAATGTAAAATAATTGGTCTGGGAATATGTCCTAAGAGGAACAATCATAAGAAAAAGCATTATTTTTGGGGAGGGGGGGAGGGAATAAACCAGAGAAGAGAATGGTGTGGTTCAGCACACCCAGGAGTTAAGCAGCATGCAGTCACTGGCTCACTCCACACCTCACCTGCCCTGGGATGAGGGGTAACAGCACGGGAGCATGTCCAAAGAAAGGCAAGGAAGACGGTCAGGAGGCTAAATCACATGAGGAGCAGCTGAAGGATCTGGGGGTGTTTAGCCTGGAGAAAAGAAGGCTTAAGGGAGGGACCTTAGAGCCCTCCACAACTGCATGAAAGTAGATTGTAGCAAATGGAGTTCGTCTTCCATCTGACAAGACACAAGGCAAGAGGAGATGGCCTCAAGTTGCACCAGGGGAGGTCTAGATTCGGAAAATTTATTCTGTGAATGGTGGTCAGGCATTGAAATATGCTGCCCAGGGAAGCGGGGAAACATCTCTGGAAAAGCTCAGAAAATGCCTGGATGTGGTACTTGGGACCTTGTTTAGTGGTCAAGATGCCAGAATTTGCTAGGTTAAGAACCAAACTTGGTGATCTTAGAGGTCTTTTCCAATCTTAACAACTTCTTGATTCTAAAGTGGCTCAACTTAGATCAGATATGAGGAATTTTTTTACAATGAGGGTGGTGAAACACTGGTACAGGTTGCTGAAATGGATGCCTCATCACTCAAAACATCCAAAGTTATATTGGACAGTGCTCTGAGCAACCTGACATTATTGAAAATGTCCCTGGGCATTGCAGGGGCATTGGACTGCATGATCTTCACAGTCACTTCAACCCAAACTATTCTATGAATAATAATAATAATAGCAATTTAAAAAATCCCAAACAACATCAAACCAAAACAAAGAACCCCAAAACAAACAAAAAAAACCAACCCAAACCAAAATACCCCATACCCCCAAAAAACTGCACCACAAGTGATGCCCAATACAATTGATCATCACCTGCTGACCAATGCCCAGCTCATCCCCAGCAGCAATTGGACCCTGTCATTCAACTCCTCCTACATTATGGGCATGACACGTAACTTGGAATAACCCTTTGGCTAGTTTGGGTCAGATGTGCTGGCCATGCTACCCTGACACTTCCTCATCAGCACAGCATGGGAAACTGAAAAATCCTTGTCTTAGGATAAGCACTACTCAGCAGCAACCAAAACATCAGCTTGGCATGAGCATTATTCTCATACTGAATCCAAAACACAGCACTGCTTCAGCTACCAAGAAGAAATTAATTTTATCCCAGCCAAAACCAAGACATCAATATATTAGCTAATTAAAATATGTTAAAAGGATTTGGTAAAAGGAATTTATTAGAGACTACAAGGTATAATGCATGTGAGCCATTTTTTACAATCAAGGGACTCAGTCAGGAAATTATTTAATTAGGTAACAGAACCAACTAGTGTGAAAGTGCAAGTATAAGCAGAAGTATTCGACACCTAACAGGACATTTTTGGCATCCCATAGTATTAAATCTAAAGTCAGTAAGGTTCTTTGAAGATCAAGTGCACTAAGATATAACTACGACCTTTTGAAGTTTGAAACCACAAAGAAAAACAAGCCAAGATGAAATGAGAAACACTAACATACCTGATTAATATTCAATATCCCAATGAAGAAATAATTTAGGAGTGTGCTTGTATATGTTGCAGGGTCCTCATCTAAACTAGGCAGACCAAGGACTCTAAACACAGTCCTGATGACCATATTATCAGTTGTTCCAGAGTGAGTTTCCCAATTCTGTTCTAAAACAAAGGTCCCTTTTCTTAATATAAATTTCATTTAAAAGGTTGCTAATTTAATTTTTTCATAAAACCCAGAAAATTTACACCCAGATTCTCTAGTTATAAACATCATGCATCACAACAGCAAGAAAATAACTCACATAGGAATAAAACCTTGATTACAAGCACTGTATTGTCCTAAAAAGACAGACCATGACAGCACCAGAAAGTTGTCACTTGTGGGTTGCAGCAATGTAGAAGTGTTGCAGGGTTGCCAGTTCTGGTACAAAGTGGTCCTCTTAAAAATGGAGACAATACAAATGGGAAGACAAAAGGCTAAGTTAAAAATAAATATTTGTGAGAAATAGGCACTGCTACACTTAAAGAATGTTACTCCATGCAATCACTGATATTTCAGGACAATGAAACTTATGCACACAAGTACAGGCAGTCATTGCCCATTCTCACTGAAAAAGATGGCACGGATTTATGAAAAAAAATCCTTATTTTGTTACAACTATGGTTTTTTGGTTGTTATTTTTCACATACTAAAAAGGAAAAAAAATCTAATTTTTGAAAAGCCAATCTTGTTTGTGCCATCAGGCATATTCACAGGTCCACAGAACTGGAGCAGGGTTCAAGTCCAAAGTTAGAATTTACAGAACAGGAAACTAAATAAAAGATCAGCAGAAAGGGTGTAAAAAGCAGACAGGTGGGATTAAAATCTTAATAAATATTAAACCCCACATTTCTAATCCCAAAATATCATTATTTCTTGTAATAAAATGGCAAAATTCTTCCCTTACACCATTAATTCCCTCTCATCTGAACCTGCTAACTTTATTTCGTGCTGGCACTACCATATGAAAGCGCTTTGAGTGCTTTTCTCTGATTGCAATGGCAGAGTTATATGAACCATTACCTATCATTACTTTTATTTCAAACCTGTCAGTTCCTCCTCTTTGTAGCCAACAA